ATCCGTCCGTCCATTATCTATCTATCTATCTATCTATCTATCTATCTATCTATCTATCTATCTATCTATCCGTCCACTATCTATCTATCCATCCGTCCACTATCTATCTATCCGTCCACTATCTGTCCGTCCATTATCTATCTATCTATCTATCCGTCCACTATCTATCTATCTGCCTATCTATCTATCTATCTATCTATCTATCTATCTATCTATCTATCTATCCACGATAGATTGTACCTCCAGGATTGTTTGTTCAGCATTCTCCAGTTTCCAGTCAGTTTCTTTCAGGTGCCAGGAAGGTGCCACTGTTACCTATTGTATTTAATCATAATAAAATATGTTATCCGCTTTTATTAAGTCATAAACCAAATGAATAATACAACTGACAATAAATACTTACTTGTTCCACAGATCGGTGAGGAAATATTGTTAAATAAAAAGCTGGTTACAAAGTGGTTTATGTGGTAAAATGAACACAAGACTTCATTCTTGCTTAACCAATTTAATGATAGTGTAAGACTTTGAGACATGGGTTGTGAATACACATTTCAATACCAGTGTTGAACAGAAAACTAAGTGATCATTATTACTTTTGATAGCCTTGTCATTATCAAATGTAAATGAGTGTGTTTTAAGTACATAAAGAGTTCATCACATAATTTTAGGCCAATTCTAATTCAGCAGCATACTGAACTTCAAAAAACTAAAAATTTAAGCCTCGGCTTCAAACATCTTCTTCCTGCCATCCATGCCAGCCTTGTCTTCAACATTCTTACGCCAGTCCCCAACATCACGCAGTTCCTTATCCTTTGAAGAGTACATGAAAGACATTTGGTCAGTTAGCCAAAAGATTAAAAGCATCTTTCAGAATTTTGAAGGTCCTTTTGGACAAAGAAATACAGGAACCACAAAGGAACCTCATGAGACCAATGCAGTTTATCGCTCACCTCCTCTTTGACCTCCTTCTTGACTTGTTTGAGGTTGGCTCTCAGATCCAGAGACACCTTGTGTTTGGAGCCCAGCAGAGCTTGAAGCATAGCGTCAGCAGACATGCGCACCTTCCTCAGGGTTGGCTTCTTGAACTTGCCCTTCAGGTCAATAACTTTGATATTCAGGTCCTCGATCTAGCGTCAGTGAATGAGGGCCATCAGTATAGAAACTACAAGACAAAACAAAAACTGTACTGGATTAAAATATAGATTACATCTTACCTCCTTTGCACTCTTGTTGACTTTCATTTCCAGGTCGTATCTCTCCTCATCAATGACATCAACTTTGTGGTGAAACTCCCTGCAGAGTTCCTATAAACAATATATTTATTTTATTTTAGTTATCCATTTACGATGTTTTCTTTTTTTAGAAGGTGAATTTATTGTCCTTTACCTGTAATGCCTGTATGCCTGAAGGTAGAGACAGAGGCTGGCAGGTCTCTGCCATGTATCTCTGCCTCTCCACCTCTCTGTCCTTTGCTTCCTGTTCCAGTATACCTTTAGCGATGGAAAGCATCAAGCTCTGCAACACAGTGAGGCTGGGTGTCATTGTTACTCATTAATGAATATTGAAAAAGTAGAATTCATTTTGAATCATATAGTACCTTCAGATGATGCTTGCGACTCGACGACATCTTTTTCCTGAGGTGTTTTGGAATCATTCAAATAAATTGTGTTAAAATCACCACAAGACACTGCACTTTTTATTTCAATTTTTTATGTCCAGTACACACAAATATAAAAATAAACAATTTCTGATATTTGAGGAAGATGACGATAATCTATAAAGGAGAAATCCAAATATTTACTTACTCTGACATCTTGGCTGAATTTTGTTTTTGCCCCTGTGAAATAAAATACCCAGTTTACAATTAACACAAAGCACTGGCAATATAACAGTATTCAATATCTAGTAATTAATAATACATGTTTTTAATTAAATTAAATTAAACGACGTTCTAAAATATATTCATAAATTAATAAATATATATTATTAAAGTGAATTCATGAGTGTGTGTGTGTATGTATGTATGTATATATATATATATATATATATATATATATGTATGCAACACTACTGTGACGTGAAACCAAACCATTCATTCAAGCATGTATTTTGTGCATTAATGTTTTAACAACATGGAAGTTATCTGCAAAATGACAACTAACCAATCTAACCACCAATCATCACTAGGTCAAATAAGGCCATAAGTCTTCTGGTCTAAAGTGAATCATATGCTATTTTTGAGCAGAAAATCTCAAGAGACGCACTGTGCTAAGCCTGTTTCTGGGTGATAATCAAAATCATGACCCCACCTCTATTCCTTCCCTCCCAATCATCTGAAACTGATCTAAAATAATCAGATCATGACATCAACTTTTTTAATGCAAACCCCTTTCTTGTGGGTTTGATTTTTTTATTTTTATTTTTTTAAGTCTGAGCTTAACTTGACTGTATAACCAAATTATCAAAATTATCTGTAAGATTCACCCAATGAAAAATTCTGTAATTTACTAATTTACTCCCATATTATATTATATTATATTCAATATAAGTGATACGATTAAAATAATATTGAATATAATAATTAAATATTTTAAATTAATTTTAATTAAATTGTACAACATGAATTTTCCTACTGGGATCAAAACAGTAAGTTAAAATAGCTAAAAACTAAACAATGATCAACTCTCTAATCTACTTTGTATCTCAGTATTACTTTCAGAATGCAAATTGCAATGCCAGGTCTAAGGTTTGACAATGAGTATCATTGTGATAATGTGAGTAAATATGTAGTAAAGGCATTTACATTTGAACTATGCCAACACCACCGATTTAAGCCATAGCATCATTGTCTAAGAGATCCCTGTGCGTCATTTTAGACCCGTCAGCTGAAGCCTAATATTTATTTAAAGATTAAATCTTGACAGCAAGATAAACACTGGCATATCACCTTCCGATCCTAAAAGCCGAATCGGATAGCGTTTTCAAAACTCAAATCAACACATTACATTTTAGGTGTGCATCTAAAAATAGCAAAGTGATTTTTTAATATATGTTTTCTGTGTTCCCAGTAAGGATGCAGAATTAATGTCTTATGACAAATAAAATTAAACATGATAATTGATTTCCCAACATATCAATGTAAGTCTGAACAAACAATCTGCAAAAGCTTTCAACATTTCTGTCACACAAACCAACTTGCCTCAAATTATGCTTACAAAGAAAAAAATTGGGGGGGAAAATCCAGTTAAAATCTGAAATTCCACACAGAACAATTGTCTGTCAACACCACCAGTTTTTTTCAAACTGTAGTGCAGCTGGCTAAGATGCATCTAGCAATTCCAACGGAATAAAGACATGAAAGGATAAGCAAAGGAAATACAGAGAAAACTGCATCTTACCTATGAGCTGAGGCAGACACAGCCTGAAGAATAGAGGAAGAATATGGTCTCTGTGGGAAGCGGGCATCATAAGTATATATTGTATTCCCCTATGACCAAGGAAATCCCATCTCTCTGTTTATGGTAGTAGATGCATTCAGAGAACCAATAGGCTCTCAAACACCTGAAACACAATATCAAATCCCTCATCTCCCCCTGCATATAAATAACCCCTCTTTAGATTGTGTATATTTTTAATCAAAGTGAAGCCCACACATGACGCAGAGATAATGAATATCAAGACACCAGCAAGAGCACTGCATTACTGTGCTAAGCTAATAAACAAAAGGCATTTCTTGAGCTTCACATATACAGTAAAAATCGTATTTAACCTTCACTTTGAAAGCAAAAGGAACAGTGCCCCACCAACAGTTCTGATTGAGCTGTGGCTTATAACTAAAAAGAAAGAAAGAAAGAAAGA